AAATCAAGCATCACATTTTAGTGTAGAAGATTCCATGTAACTTATCCCCAAGATAACCCTTAGCTGAACATATCTTGTATCTATAAGAATGAATGAATTAATACAACATCCATTGATCATCTGTCAATATTACAGAAAATTCTTACTTAGAAAAACCCCTACTTATAGTAGGCATTTGAATATTAAAAACTGTGTGGCAGCTTGTAGCTGGCATTTAAAGAGAGCTGAGCAGCATGTGTGCAGGCACAGAGCACAGTGTATTATCTGAACTATCCCCTTCCATTCATCCTCTCCTACCTGCAAGTAATTAATACAGTGTAATTATGCCAAATGTAAAGAAAGGGAAATGAGGCTGCAGAAAAGAGTAAGTTTGTCCAAATGCATTTAGCTAATAAATAATGCAACGTAGTTCTACAATAAGTGCCTTTACTCTGCTCCCAAAGTCCTCACTTTTATTCATAAAGATATGGAGGAGCTAATTCATGGTCATGAATTTATACTGCAAAATAAATAAATGACTGATACTATAATATATTCAACCTAAGGATTAGAGCCTTCAAAACCCCATGTATCAGAAAACAAAACAATACAAGCATGTCTTGAAGAACAAAGCTTAGTCGGACTCATTATTTTTCTTGAAGGTAGAATTCATAATCCTGATATCAATAATTTGCAATGTTAAGCAGCATTTGGAACATATATCTCTGTGCTTTGTTTCCATGCTGCCAGGTATAAATTTGAGAGCACTGAACAGTAGAGTCAGGTTTTCTTTACTGCAGCAGCAAGAGTTTATATTGAGACTTGAACACACTGCTCTTGAGCCTGGAAGATATTATGAGCATGGTTACATAACCCATCATTAATGGGGAGGGGGCAGATGTCTGGTATTTTCCCCAAGATAAACCTATGATGGCTACATCACCATCTATTTGCCTTTGTGTTTAAACTTCATTTCTCTTCATGTTTTGGGAAACATTTCAGTGAATGTTTCAGATTTGAAAAGAATCATTAAAAATAAGGAACATCTTGGTTTGTCTTGACATTAAGAGCAGATACATCATATTAGGGATCACTGGGATTTGTTCATTAGATTAAACACTGAACATAACAACTGTGTGAAGTATAGATGAGTGTGAGCTGGGCTCCCTGGCCACCTAGCCATCCAGTTCCTTGTAGCTCCATGAAACTAATTGCCAGACAGAAAAATCTATCGTCAAATGTCCTTGGAAACATGGTAAATAAATAAACAAGCAAGAAAAAAACCAAACCAACCAACCAAAGAAACAAAAAATGAAATCTGGCAGAACTTAGTTAACTACAAACAAATTAACCAAAAAGTAAACCCCAAATCATGCAGCAGGGTTGGCTCAGAGCTCTGGGTGATGAGCATGTGATCCATGTGGAATAGTCCCTCATACTGTATGAACATATGCTGTTGTGATTGGTTTAATTAAGAAACTAACCAGCCAACAGCTGGACAGGAGAAGTTTAGGTGGAAGAGCCAAACTGAGAATACTGGGAAGAAGGATGGAGTCAGGAGTCACGAGCAGACACAGAGAGAAGCAAAATGGACATGCCATAATGAGAAAAGGCACTGAGCTTCATGGCAAAGCATAGATAAGAAATAAGGGTTAATTTAAGAGTTAGCTAGTAACAAGCCTGAGCTATTGGCTGAGTATTTGTAATTAATATAAGCCTCAATGTGTTTATTTGCTCAGTGTGTTTATTTGGGAGCTGCTGGTGGGCCAGAAACTTCCACCAACACACATGCTTCTCAGAATCACTACTTTTGTATATTTCTCATTTCCTAACTTTGAAGGAATAGTCTTTAGGAATTCCCTTGTATGGTGTGGCCAACCCCAAGCCCTTGATTCAGAATCAATTCAATGCCTGGTTCCAACTTGACATCAACAGTCCCAGTACCTTGGGCGAGCTGCTTGCACAGTTCTGTCTCCTAGTGCCTTTCAAGGGTGGAGTACTGCTGTTGGGCACTGGCAGGAATAAATGAAAAATCTAAGTAATATTGGTAATACTTAGCTCCCTGTTTAGGGAAGGTGAATATTTAAAGAAAGCTAGGAAGTTTATTTTGAGGGGCTGGGGAGACATCTTGGGTCAGGACAGTGCTTGCCTTGCAAGCATAAGGACTTCAGTTTGAAATACAGAATTCACAAGTTAAAACAAGACAAAACTAGGCAGGGTGGTGTACACTTGTAACCCCAGTGCTGGTGAGGTAGAGACAAGATCTGTGGGACTCTGGCCAGGCTGTCTAATGTATTTGGTAAGTTCAAGGTCAGTGAGAGACAGTAGTCAAAGAGAAGCTGGATGGTGCCCAGTGAATTATACCCCTGGTTGTCCTCTGACCTATATACCATTCACAACACACACACACACACACACACACACACACACACACACACACACACACACACTTGAGTGCTCCTACATGCACATGGATATTGTTCTCTCCATACACAAAGGTAGTTTTGAAAAATCTGCTCTAACTCACTAATTGGATAAATGCACAAATGTAGATAAATGACCCATCTCAATAAAATAATAAAATCATTTAACCAAATCTGGCAGTTAAGCCAAAGGATCAAGCCAATTATGAAGGTTGTTTTAAGAATTAAAAGGAGGGCTGCAGAGACAGTGCAGGAGATAAAAGCACTGGCTGCTCTTGCAAGGGACTGGAGTTTAATTCCCAGTACCCAGATGGGGGTGGGGATTATGACTGCCTATAACTCCAGCTCCAGGGACTAGAATTCCATTCTGACCTCTGTGGGCACCAGCATGCCCATGCATGTGCACATACCCACACTCACACACACAGTCACATAATATTTAACACGCACGCACGCACGCACGCACGCACGCACGCACACACACACCTCTATTTTTTTCTCTATAGAGAGAGTGAAAAGGAATCTTAAGGAAAGTCAAGCTATGAATACACAATGAAAACCAGCCATGCCCCTTTCTTTTCTCAGGAAAATCAGCCATGCTCTGGGGACCAGAGCCCCTGAGACTGGGATGTGCATCCCAAGTACATTCTGTGCAGCTGGAGGCTGTGTGATAGACAGAAGGATCTTGCTCAGTGAGGTCCGTGTTTATGGCTTAAGTTTTTTAAAGAGGAATTTGGAAATGCTCCCAGACTCTGCATCTGCCCCTGGCCCTTGCACCTCAGAGGTGGAGGCCAGTGAGGGAGACAGCAAGGATGACTAAATTTATTAGGAATGGACAGACCACTCTATCTTTTCACACAGCAACAGTAGGCGATCCCATCAGAAACTTGCCTGTTGGCTGGCCTGCAGACCGATCAGACGTGCTTACTGTAGCCAGCAACAACTGAATGGAGACAGAATGCTGTTTCCTGAAAGAAATGTGCCCCAAGCTGACATTCAACCAAAGAGACAGCTTCTCTTTCCTTTTGAGAAAGAATCCATCAGCTGAGACTTCCTCTTCATAACCTACATTGACTTTCTTTTGTTGTTTCTCCATCATGAAAGTTATTAAGCACAAGTTCAGCCTGTCGGGGAACTTGAATTCAATGTTTAATTATGATGATTTTGATGTGTGGGGAAAATAGTTAAGCATACATTAATCTCAATATATCTCAGCTAACAGGTAATCATGATTTACGACACCCATACATCAGCAGTCAGTTTCACCCATAAGCCAACTGTTTACTCTTCTAGGTAAAATCAAAACAGTGACATTGGATTTTCCAGCTCAAATTCCATTTCCTTGTCTTTACACACTAATATTTTTAAAATGTGGTATTTTACCATAATTTTCTCACAGATTAAGCCAATATCTAAGTTTATGTAATAACATAAACCTTACATATCATATATATTAGTGTGTGTGTGTGTGTGTGTGTGTGTGTGTGTGTGTGTGTGTATGGTTTCATGTGTGTAAGTATGGCACTCATACCATGTTAAGCATGTGGAAGTCATAGGCCAACTTTTGGTATGGGTCCTGTCAGTCATCTACCTTGTTTGAGGAAGGGCCTCCATGTTGTTCACAGTTACACAGGCCGGACTAGCTGGCCTGAGGCTTCTGGGTATTCTCCTGTCTACAACTTCCATCATGCTACCAGAGCACTGGCCTTGTAGTCGCACATTACCACCTCTGGCTTTAACTTGGGTTCTATGGATCTGAACTCAGGTCCTCATGTTTCCATGGCAAATGTGTTACCCAGAGAGCCATCTCTTCAACCCCCTTGTATTTTTTTTAAAAACAGAAATATGAAGTCTGGACATAAATCATCCAATTAAATATTAAACCTTTTCATTTACATGAGTTGTTTTGGTCATGGTGCCTCTTCACAGCAATAGAACTGCACGCAGGAACTTACTCTTTGCACATGTATTATTTGCATTGATTTTCATGTTTCCAACTATTGCCTTCACTGTCGTTCGTTAACACTTTTAAACTCTGTCCCTGTGACAGGCACAAACCTCCCTGGCTTTACCACAGTGCCATCCGGAGAAGGTGGGTTCCCTGAGATTAGTCTCCCCCAATGCTTCCCACAGAACAGGAGACATTAACAGTTGTTGTGGACTCAGCTACACAAAGGTGGGAATCAAACAGCCCTCAGATACCTGATGTCACCCTCTGCCCAGTAAGGGCAAATGCTCCTTCTGACTCTTTCCACAGGCTCTGGTGACCACATGTGTTCTCTGTGGGCAGGGGGCATTTCTAAAACCCTTTCACCAACAGGATACTCTAATACATGATGATGGAGGCTGCCTGAGGACACACTTTGATCCAATGAGCTCTCCCCTCTTTCCCTTCCTCACTTGCCTCCTATCTGACCCCCACCAACACAATCCTAAAGGGATGGATGTGTTGACACAATCAGGCTACTATTATAAAAAGGCTGAGTTCATTTTTCTATAAATAGACACCATAAAAAATTCATTGTAAAGAGATATCAAAATAATAGACAACACCTTGGGGCGTAGCACTTCTCAAATAAAAGTGTCAAATGCACTTACCTATAAAATCTGGGTGAGCTGTTCTGGGAAATCTGCAGTAACCATCTCCCATGAAGCAGGTTCCCTTTGTCATAGCAGCCATGGGAGCTGGGAGAGAGGAATCCCTCCTTTCTAGATAGTACACAGGAGAGGGACCATTGACTTCTGCAGGAGGAAGCCACCAGAGATGGACTGTGGTGCTGTTGACTCCTGTCACCATGGGAGACCTTAGCTGGGCAGGAGCTGAATGACAGAAGGACACAGAAGGACACTGAATAAAATAGGGAGACACACCCTTGTGCACCTCACACTTGAAGTCAGATCAGTTGCTGTCATAGGTGCCTCAAGAGCTCTATGAATGGAAAACAGAATGCAGAGTTGAGCTCAGAGATGACTAAACAACATTTAAATGACTACAGATTCCTAACACAAAACATACACACACCGAGGAAGATTTTTCATTGGAAATAATTTCTTTCATTCTTCCTTTCTTTCTTTCTTTCTTTCTTTCTTTCTTTCTTTCTTTCTTTCTTTCTTTCTTTCTTTCTTTCTTTCTTTCTTTCTTTCTTT